TGTGGTGAGACAGTGACACGGGTTGATACAACACGCCTCTCTTTCCTGTGGTGAGGCAGTGACACGGGTCGATACGACACGCCTCTCTTTCCTGTGGTGACACAGTGACACGGGTCGATACAACACGCCTCTCTTTCCTGTGGTGAGACAGTGACACGGGTTGATACAACACGCCTCTCTTTCCTGTGGTGACACGGGTTGATACAACACGCCTCTCTTTCCTGTGGTGACACGGGTCGATACAACACGCCTCTCTTTCCTGTGGTGAGGCAGTGACACGGGTCGATACAACACGCCTCTCTTTCCTGTGGTGAGGCGGTGACACGGGTTGATACAACACGCCTCTCTTTCCTGTGGTGAGGCAGTGACACGGGTTGATACAACACGCCTCTCTTTCCTGTGGTGAGGCAGTGACACGGGTCGATACAACACGTCTCTCTTTCCTGTGGTGAGGCAGTGACACGGGTTGATACAACACGCCTCTCTTTCCTGTGGTGAGGCAGTGACACGGGTTGATACAACACGCCTCTCTTTCCTGTGGTGAGGCAGTGACACGGGTCGATACAACACGTCTCTCTTTCCTGTGGTGAGGCAGTGACACGGGTTGATACAACACGCCTCTCTTTCCTGTGGTGAGGCAGTGACACGGGTTGATACAACACGCCTCTCTTTCCTGTGGTGAGGCAGTGACACGGGTTGATACAACACGCCTCTCTTTCCTGTGGTGAGGCAGTGACACGGGTCGATACAACACGCCTCTCTTTCCTGTGGTGACACAGTGACACGGGTTGATACAACACGCCTCTCTTTCCTGTGGTGAGGCGGTGACACGGGTTGATACAACACGCCTCTCTTTCCTGTGGTGAGGCAGTGACACGGGTTGATACAACACGCCTCTCATTCCTGTGGTGAGACAGTGACACGGGTCGATACAACACGCCTCTCTTTCCTGTGGTGAGGCAGTGACACGGGTTGATACAACACGCCTCTCTTTCCTGTGGTGAGACAGTGACACGGGTTGATACAACACGCCTCTCTTTCCTGTGGTGACACAGTGACACGGGTTGATACAACACGCCTCTCTTTCCTGTGGTGACACAGTGACACGGGTTGATACAACACGCCTCTCTTTCCTGTGGTGACACAGTGACACGGGTTGATACAACACGCCTCTCTTTCCTGTGGTGACACAGTGACACGGGTTGATACAACACGCCTCTCTTTCCTGTGGTGACACAGTGACACGGGTTGATACAACACGCCTCTCTTTCCTGTGGTGACACAGTGACACGGGTTGATACAACACGCCTCTCTTTCCTGTGGTGACACAGTGACACGGGTCGATACAACACGCCTCTCTTTCCTGTGGTGACACAGTGACACGGGTTGATACAACACGCCTCTCTTTCCTGTGGTGAGGCAGTGACACGGGTTGATACAACACGTCTCTCTTTCCTGTGGTGAGGCAGTGACACGGGTTGATACAACACGCCTCTCTTTCCTGTGGTGAGGCAGTGACACGGGTTGATACAACACGCCTCTCTTTCCTGTGGTGACACAGTGACACGGGTTGATACAACACGCCTCTCTTTCCTGTGGTGAGACAGTGACACGGGTCGATACAACACGCCTCTCTTTCCTGTGGTGACACGGGTTGATACAACACGCCTCTCTTTCCTGTGGTGAGGCAGTGACACGGGTCGATACAACACGCCTCTCTTTCCTGTGGTGACACAGTGACACGGGTTGATACAACACGCCTCTCTTTCCTGTGGTGAGGCAGTGACACGGGTTGATACAACACGCCTCTCTTTCCTGTGGTGACACGGGTTGATACAACACGCCTCTCTTTCCTGTGGTAAGGCGGTGACACGGGTGGATACAACACGCCTCTCTTTCCTGTGGTGAGGCAGTGACACGGGTTGATACAACACGCCTCTCTTTCCTGTGGTGAGGCGGTGACACGGGTTGATACAACACGCCTCTCTTTCCTGTGGTGACACAGTGACACGGGTTGATACAACACGTCTCTCTTTCCTGTGGTGACACAGTGACACGGGTTGATACAACACGCCTCTCTTTCCTGTGGTGAGGCGGTGACACGGGTTGATACAACACGCCTCTCTTTCCTGTGGTGAGACAGTGACACGGGTCGATACAACACGCCTCTCTTTCCTGTGGTGAGGCAGTGACACGGGTTGATACAACACGCCTCTCTTTCCTGTGGTGAGGCAGTGACACGGGTTGATACAACACGCCTCTCTTTCCTGTGGTGACACAGTGACACGGGTTGATACAACACGCCTCTCTTTCCTGTGGTGACACAGTGACACGGGTTGATACAACACGCCTCTCTTTCCTGTGGTGACACAGTGACACGGGTTGATACAACACGCCTCTCTTTCCTGTGGTGACACGGGTTGATACAACACGCCTCTCTTTCCTGTGGTGAGGCAGTGACACGGGTCGATACAACACGCCTCTCTTTCCTGTGGTGACACAGTGACACGGGTTGATACAACAGGCCTCTCTTTCCTGTGGTGACACGGGTCGATACAACACGCCTCTCTTTCCTGTGGTGACACGTGACACGGGTTGATACAACACGCCTCTCTTTCCTGTGGTGACACGGGTTGATACAACACGCCTCTCTTTCCTGTGGTGACACAGTGACACGGGTTGATACAACACGCCTCTCTTTCCTGTGGTGACACAGTGACACGGGTTGATACAACACGCCTCTCTTTCCTGTGGTGACACAGTGACACGGTTGATACAACACGCCTCTCTTTCCTGTGGTGTGACACAGTGACACGGGTTGATACAACACGCCTCTCTCAGTGACACGGGTTGATACAACACGCCTCTCTTTCCTGTGGTGAGGCAGTGACACGGGTTGATACAACACGCCTCTCTTTCCTGTGGTGAGGCAGTGACACGGGTTGATACAACACGCCTCTCTTTCTGTTGGTGACACAGTGACACGGGTTGATACAACACGCCTCTCTTTCCTGTGGTGAACAGTGACACGGGTCGATACAACACGCCTCTCTTTCCTGTGGTGACACGGGTTGATACAACACGCCTCTCTTTCCTGTGGTGAGGCAGTGACAAAAAAAAAAAAAAAAAACGGGGTCGATACAAACACGCCTCTCTTTCCTGTGGTGACACAGTGACACGGGTTGATACAACACGCCTCTCTTTCCCTGTGGTGAGGCAGTGACACGGGTTGATACAACACGCCTCTCTTTCCTGTGGTGACACGGGTTGATACAACACGCCTCTCTTTCCCCCCTGTGGTAAGGCGGTGACACGGGTGGATACAACACGCCTCTCTTTCCTGTGGTGAGGCAGTGACACGGGTTGATACAACACGCCTCTCTTTCCTGTGGTGAGGCGGTGACACGGGTTGATACAACACGCCCTCTCTTTCCTGTGGTGACACAGTGACACGGGTTGATACAACACGCCTCTCTTTCCTGTGGTGACACAGTGACACGGGTTGATACAACACGCCTCTCTTTCCTGTGGTGAGGCGGTGACACGGGTTGATACAACACGCCTCTCTTTCCTGTGGTGAGACAGTGACACGGGTCGATACAACACGCCTCTCTTTCCTGTGGTGAGGCAGTGACACGGGTTGATACAACACGCCTCTCTTTCCTGTGGTGAGGCAGTGACACGGGTTGATACAACACGCCTCTCTTTCCTGTGGTGACACAGTGACACGGGTTGATACAACACGCCTCTCTTTCCT